TCAAAAAGATTGTCCACTATGATCAAGTTGGTTTCATCTGAGAGATGCAAGGATGGTTAAACATGTAAATCCATAAATATAGGGGGCTGGAGAGATGGCTCAGCATTTAAGAGCACTGACTGCCCTTGCAGAGGACCTGGGTTTGGTTCCCAGTACCCACATGGCAGGTAACAACAGTAACTCCAGTTCCAGGGGTATCCGATGCCCTCTTCTGACCTCTGTGTGCATTTTACAACACTGTTGCACTTACATACCTGCAGGCAATACACTCATACACATAAAAATAAAATTAACAAATAAAACAAGAGATGTAATCCACCACATAAAAAGACTCAAGGACAGAAACCACATGATCATCCCACTAGATGTAGAAAAGGCCTTTGACAAAATCCAATTCATGATAAAAGTCAGGGAGAACCTAGGCATACTAGGGACATATCTCAACATAATAAAGGCAATATACCACAAGCCCACAGCTAACATCATACTAAATGGAGAAAAACTGAAAGCATTCCCATTAAAATCAGGAACAAGAGCTGGAGAGATGGCTCAGCAGTTAAGAACACTGACTGTTCTTGCAGAAGACCCAGGTTTGAATTCCAGCACCCACATGGCAGTTAACAATTGTGTGTAACTCCAGTTCCAGGGGATCCTATAGCCTCTTCTGTTCTTCGTGGGCATTGGACGACATGGGTACACTTACCTATATGCAGGCAATACATGCATACACATAAAATAAAAGTAATAAAATATTTTTAAAATCAGGAACAAGACAAGGATAGTTACTTTCTCTGTTCCTGTTCAATACAGTACTTGAAGTCTTAGCTAGAGCAATAAGACAAATGAAGGGGATATAAATTGGAAAGGAAGTCAAAGTATCCTCATTTGCAGATGACATGATTCTATACATAAAGAACTCTAAAGACTCCACCAGAAAATTCCTGGAGCTGATAAATACATTCAGCAAAGTAGCAGGATATAAAATTATAACCCCCAAATCAGTAGCCTTTCTATATACCACCAACATACATACCAAGAAAGAAATCTGAAGAACAACTCCATTCATGATAGCCTCAAAATCCATAAAATATCTTGGGATAAATCTAATAAAGGAAGTGAAGGACTTGTACAATAAAAACTTTAAGACATTGAAGAAAGAAATTGAAAAAGATTCCAGAAGATGAAAAGATCTCTATACTCATGGATTGGTAGGATTAATATTGTGAAATGGTCATCCTACCAAAACCAATCTACAAATTTAGTGCCATATCCACTAAAATTCCAAGACAATTCTTCACTGAAATTGAAAAAATAGTATTAAATCTCATATGGAAACACAAAAAAACTCAGGATAGCCAAAATAATCCTGAAAAATAAAAGAACTGCTGGAGGCCTCACCATCCCTGATCTGAAATCATACTACAGAGCTACAGTAATAAAAACAGCATAGTACTGGCATAAAAACAGATACATTGATCAGCGGAATAGAATTGAGGACTCAGATTTAAATCCACTCATTATATAGCCACTTGATTTTTGACAAAGGATTAAAAAATACATACAATATGTTCAATAAATGCTCCTGGCCAAACTGGATAAAGGCGTGTAAAAGAATGAAACTAGATCCCTATCTCTCACCATGCACAAAACTGAACTCCAAATGGATCAAGGACCTCAACATAAGACTCAATACCCTCAATAAGACAGAGGAGAAATTAGGGAATATATTGGAACTTATAGGCACAGGAAAGGATTTTTCTGAATAGGATTTGTATAGCTCAACAACTCACAAATGGGACCACATGAAACTAAAAGTTTTCTGTATGTCAAAGGACATCATCATTAAAATGAAGAGGCAACACACAGAATGGGAAAACTTTTGTACCTGCTATACCTCTGATTGAGAATTAGTATACAGAATATACAAAGAACTAAAAAAATGAAACATCAAAACCCAAACAACTCAATTAAAAAGTGGGGCATTGAGCTGAACAGGAAGTTCTCTAAAGATGAAATGCAAATTGCTAAGAAATATTTAAAAAGGTTCAACAATTCTAGTCATCAGGGAAATGCAGATTAAAACCACTTTTAGATTTAATCTTAGCCACTCAGAATGGCTAAGATCCCCAACATGAACACCAACAAGCGCTGGTGAAGATGTGGGGAAAGGAGAACTCTTATCTAAAGTTGGTGGTAGTGAAAACTGGTGCATCCACTATGGAAATCAATGTGGAGATTCCACAAAAAGCTCTAAATTTATCTACCAAATGTCACTGTTAAGTATATACCCCAAAGACTCTATACCCTACTATAGAAATGCCTATCCATCCATTTTCATTGCTACCCTTTTCATAACAGCCAGAAAGTGGAAACAACCTAGATGTCCATCAGATGATTAATAGATAATGAAGGAATGGTAATATACACAATGGAATATTATTCAGCTCTTAAAAAGCAAAATTATGAAATTTGCAGGTAAATGGATGGAACTGGAAACAATTATCCTGAGTGTGGCAACCTAGACCTAGAAAGACAATGTCACATGTTCCCTCTCATAGCTGGGTGGTAGCTTTGAAGTCTTAGATATGCTGTTTCAATTTGAAAATCCAGAGAGGTCAAGAAACTCAAATGACCATGGGCATATAGGGGTCAGCTTCCTGGGAGGGTGGTAGAATGCAGTGATAAGAAGGGGCAAAGGGGAACATTAGAGTAGGGTTAAATGGGGTGGGGAATGGGAGGGCAGGAGAGGAGGGAGTATGGGGAGGGATTAAGTAACACTAAAGGCCTTTAGAAAAAGCTATATGGAAACCTATCACTATAGAAGCTTCTTAAGTATATACATACACATTATAAAAAGAGATTAAAAGGAGTGTTACCTTGTAACAGGGGATATTGCCCCTTCTAGATAACATAGGCTAATGAAAAAAATCTCAATGCCAGGAATGGACTCCTTCTCTAGAAGCTATTGACCAGGGGTCCCAAAGACCCTCAAACAATACTGGCCATTGTCTCTGCTCTTGATTACCTGCCAGACCTGGATGGTAAGTAAGACCCTATTGCTAAAGACAGTATATACATGAGTTGTAGAACAAACAAGGAGAAATCAAGTTGGTGCCAACTTCAGAGCCTCATCTCTACTGGCTAGCATTCACAGTGCTGAAAAGTGCTACACATGCTACAGGAAGGAAAAAAAATAATCATCAACCCTACCCAGCTTGTGAATCCTGTAAACTATAACGACAATTGGCCTAGCAAGATATCCCGCTGATGCAATAGTGGCATGAATATTATGGGAATAACAATGACTCTTTAATTGGATTTAAGGCCTGCTTCCTAGGATGGAGCCCATATTTGATATTAATATCACATTTAGGAACCTGATGCTAGACAGGTCATAGAAGACAGGGGAGAGCCTAATATTAGTTTTCTACTAAATAGCCATCTTGTTAAACTTACTCCTAATGACTTATTGTTATAACCCATATATGAATGCATCTCTCAACTCTCACCAGAGAAGTTTTCTTATGCAACAGATGGTGATTAACACAGCTGACCCACAGCTGACCAATGTGCAGTGAACAAGAAGCTACAGAGTACTTATCCTGAATAGGACACCTATACCAACTTCTGCCTCCCAAGGCTCAGGGATCATTGTGGGGTGGAAAGATTGTAAAAGTCAGAGGTGGTAGATGATCACAAGGAAACAGTTTTCCAGACAGCTAGTCAGCTACTCACATGTACTCACAGCAATGGTGACAGCATGCACAAGTCCCAGTGCAAGCTCAAACCAGACAAAATCCCAGCACAGACATGGGGAAGTGGGTAAGAAGTACCAACTCAATTTAAGGAAGTTTTGGCAACTGGGAGTGGGAGAGACTGTCTTTTTCAAGGATGGGGTTCTTGATAGATTAACCAGGCTCCAGTAGATGGACCTAACTGAAGGACATTTGGGGACACAAATTAGACTCTATAGGCATTATTATATATGATAGGGTACATTAAATGGGGAGGGGTGAATAGGGGAAGTGCAGATAGGGGAGGGGACCTAAGTATCATCAAATTATACTGTATGAAAAATCACAAAAATTCATTTTTAAAGGCATACAATTATGTTGAAGAAAAGACAAAAGTTGTCCCAACTGCTTTTTCCAGAAGTGAGTTTGATGATCCTTTTGAATGAGAAGAGTTAAAATGAATACCTCTTTTTTTGTTTGCAACATTATTTTAGAGTGAAGTTTCACAAAATCTCTTAGTGTTCCAACCATTTGAGGGAAAAAAGAAAAATATCTTCAAAGGGACTGCATTGGAAAATAAGTAGTAGGTATGTACTGTAGTAAAAATTATAATGACCAAAAATACATTAATATTACAATAAGTCAGTTCTATTGGCCGCCTGAAAAATAAGTGCTGTTTCTTCCTTGTAGTGATTATGTGAAACACAGAACAGACTGGAAGGGATATGCCAAGGGTCTAGGAATGAATACTAATAATGTTGTTTGCAGTTTCCAAACCACCAATGCATGCTCATATGTGGATGAGAATGACCTTGTTGAATGAAAAAAAAAAAAAGATTTCTGTGACAGAGAAGGAAGGTTACTGATGGAAGAATATTTCCCCTAAGAGGGCAGAAGTAGAGCTGTGGCTAGATTATATGGTATCTTCTTTTTTGTGTAAAACATAAGTGCCCTTTCTCTAGGTACAGACCAGCACCTGCACAGATAGACTGGGAAGTAAAACTTTTGTCAGATTCTAGCTCCTCACTCTTTTCTTGTGCAGAACATGTCCTGAGCAATCTCAGCAAGCCAAGAAAGAATAAACTAGGAGGGAAGAGGGTGGCCTCTGAAATGAAGAGGACCCTGATGGTTAGGAAAAGAATTTAAGTTTAAACTGTAAATAATGTTGTAGAAGCAGGAAAAATAAATATTGTGAATTATTAATTTACAAGTTACCAAGTTAATAGATATCTTCTAAATCAGTCTTAGGAATAAAAAACTTCTTACCCTCTCAAAACCACAAAAGTTAGCCCTGGAAAGCTGGAAGAGGAGGGGTGGGGAGAGGGAGAGGAAGGAGGAGAAAAAGAAAGTTAAAAATCTGTTTGTCCTCTAGGTGTTAGTAGCATTAAAAATGTAGAAAACAGCATATTTTAAAATGAAATGGAGATCTTCTTTAAAGGATAAAAAGTCATTCAATTTTATGTCTTACAGGGTTTACACTGAGTTCAATACTATATAACTGTATTAATACTGTATAACTGCCAACTGTGAACCTAAAAATTTACAGCCACTTTTGAAAGAGATGTATCCTTGCTCTGGAATGTGTGACTGAATATGTTAAAGCTGTAATGAAATGCTTCTTCTAATCATGTGGCTATTAAATAAAAAATTTTAAAAAATCTGTTTGCATATCATAAAGCACAACAAAACATAGTAATTTAAGTTATACCAAAAGAAATTTACACTTTTTTTCTATTCCAATGGATAGATGGCCAAGCACATATGTAGCCCCTGACATTTTATCTTGGAAAGAATTTCATGGTATGCCATATATTTCCCTTCTCAATCCTATAATTTATGTTATCTTTTTATTTCTTGCTATGCCTTCCTTCTTGAGGAAACTTTCCATTCTCTTCTGTAGCTAGACCTGTCTAAACAGCCCCAATTCTGCTTTTCCTTGCTTCATGGTGGAATAATTTTTAGTTGCACCGTCAACAGAGGATCCAACAGAACTGAGCCTCAGTTGTCCACAGGATTCTTTATTCTGTTTTTATGATTCAGTTATTTTTATTTGATGTGTATGAGTATTTTGCCTGCATGTATCTAAATGCATCCATGCATGCAGTGCCTGAAGAGGTCTAAAGAGGGCATTGGATTCCCTGGAACTGGAGTTATGAACAGTTGTTAGCTGCCATGTGGGTGCTGGGAACCAAACTCAGACTCTCTGCAAGAGCAGCCTGTGCTCTTAATTGCTGAGCATCTTTCCAACCCTCATGGATTGTTTCTTTGACAACATGTTTGTTTGTTTGTTTGGAGACAGGGCCTCCCTGTAGCCCCAGCTGGCCTGGAACTCACTGTGTAGACCAGTCTGACCTTGATCTCACAGAAATCCTCTTGCCTCTCTGCCTCCTGACTGTTGGAATTAAAGGCATGTACTGCCACACCTGACCTTGACAACACTTTTAATTTGTCATCTTTAATACTATATTTAGCTATATAAATTACATTATAGCATTTTAGGAACATAGAGATATAAATAAATAGATAAATAAGTAGATAGATGATATATTTTCTATTGTATATATTTAAAACCTACTATAAATGTGTACAAGAAAACCAGCACCATTTTTGAATTATAAATTCAATGCTACGAGGCAAAGGAAAAGTTTCTGTATTATACTTCACTTTTTTTTTCCACTTCTAAGATACACTATTCATAACTCAACTGCGAAATATTTCTTTTTATGTCACAAAAATATTTAGTGTTAGCAATTAATTACAAAAAGGTTTACATACCTTTAAGTATGAGGTAAGTGGATAGCGAAGATCTGTACTTACAAAAAGACCCAAAGAGGTGAGGAGAACCAAAAAGCGATTTGTTAAAACCATATCTATCAGTGTAAGCCCTTTGTGTTCTAAAAAAGAAATCAAATCACACCATGGGTTGAAATGGAAAGAGTGAGTTCTTTAGCAAACACATTTTATAAATACTGATCCAATGTTAATATAAATGAAATGCTGAAGATGAAGGCGGCCAGAGAAATTACCTTCTTTAAGTTCATCATAGATACTATTTGTCAGGTCATACCATATGGTTTCATCATACTTCCAAAATCCAGAAAATGTTACGCCAATGAAAATACCTATCATGAAGGGAAAAGGAAATGAAAAGTCAGGCAACTTTACAGAGCTCAGTTCTATGAAGACGAATCTGCTCTATCTTCCAACCCAGTCTCCTTCACACCTCACCTCTCCTCAGTATGAATCTTACTTCTCAAGGCTTTGGAAACATGAAGTAGATGTCAGCTACACCATAGGGTTTTAGTGAACTACCTCACTGATACCTATGATAGTTACCTCTGGGCATAATACGTCCTTAAGGTAAATCCTTGTAATGTATTGGTTTATCCTAAAAGTATCATTCAAGCTGTACTTGTTAGTAAGTATTCTGTTTATGTTGAAGGAGAACAGAATGTGCCACTATAGACTATGCAACTTGGGCAACAGAATCGAGAGAGAGGCCCTGAACTCCTTTTATTTCCCTAAAAAGTAGGGCATAAATGTTACCTTGAGTCAGGAAATGAAGATTTTTATCCCTGAACATAGAGAATAGACACTGTATTAGTTACTTTTCCTGTTGCTGTGATAAAATACTCTTAAAAGTAGATTAAAAAGAAAAAGAGCTTTTTGCCTGATCTTTTTGATTTTTGGAAGGTACAGTCCATCCTGATGGAAAAGTCATGCTGGCAGGAGCTTGAAGAGGCCGCTGCATTTGCAGTCATGAAGCAGAGGGATAAATACTTGTGCTCAGCTTGCTTTCTTGTTTTTACGCAGTCTAGGACTTCAGCCCATGGAATGATATTCCCAGCATTTAGGGTGGGTCTTTCCACCTAACCTAATCTAGATAACCCCTCACAAGCATGCGCAGAGGTTTGTCTCCTAGGCAATTCTAGATTCTGTCAAGGTAACAGTCAGTATTAACGAACACAGATGCCTTTAGTCCCAGCACTCAGGAAGCAGAGGCACATAGATCTCTGGTCTACATAGCAAGTTCCAGGTTAACTGAGTCTATAGGGAGACTCTGTCTCAAGAAGACCAACCAGGTGGATAGATGTTAAGAACACTGGTTGTTCTTGCAGAAGACCTGGGTTCGAATCCCAGCACCCACATGGCAGCTAACAACTGTCCATAACTCCAGTCCCAGGGGATCTGACAGCCTCTTCTGACCTCTGCGAGCATTGCATGACATGGGTGCACTTACTTACATGCAGGCAATATACACATACACATAAAATAAAAATAATAAATAAAAATTTTGAAAAAGACCAACCAACCAATAAACAAACAAATACATAAATAAATAAGGTGGAGAGCAATTGAGGAAGACATCTGAAGTCAACGCCTGGCTTTCACATGTATGCATGTACATGTGCACACACATGCACACAAAAACCCACATTGGTATATGTGTATATACCCCACCCCACATACACAAAAAAGAAAAACAATTGCTAAAGCCTCCTGAAAACCTCTTAAGGTAAAGTATGTTGCCAAAACTGACCCCATCTTTCTTAGGCTGTAACAGGGAATGTTGAGTCTTTTGTGTTTTAAATAAGGACTGCTAATCTGAAGTTTTGTCAACAGGCATAATTCATGGACTAGATTGCTAAAGACACCTGACAATCGAAAACATACACTTTGTTTCCATGATAGGAATGTAGGATAAATCATATTTGAAGTGTGTACTTTAGCCCTCAATTCTTTACCTTTGTAGGAAAAGCTGTAGAAAGACATTGTTGCCTCCTTTCTCCAAGAAGAAGGGAGTGAAAGGTAAACTTGTCTTTCCCAAGCATTAAATCTAGTTTTACAGACTGTGGGCTTATTCTAAGTGGGACTGATTATAGGTGCTCAGCATAATATCACATGATCAAACTTGTTCAAAGATTAGAAATATTTAATGGTGAAATAAGTAACAAATATTATGCAGGTCAATATTTTGAGGTGAAACTTAAGTTACAGACTATTGTCCATGAAAAGATGTTCAAAATTGTATTCCAAGCTTCAAAGTTGATTTAGGCCATTGTAAGTTTGAGTTTGACTTTTATTCTAATAGCAAAGCGAATCTGAAGCCTCTGGATGTTTGAAGAAGGGAAGTGCTGTAATCAAGTTTATAGTGGAGAATATCACTCTAGTTGATGTATGAAGGGTGGGTTGTAACATTTGGGTCAGCAATGGAACTGGAGAGTACCTTTAAAAGGCTGCATTAGTCTAGCAGACAATATTGAGTTGACAAAGGTTTTAGCAGAGGAAAGAAGTGGTCATGGGAGCTGCACCCTGGAGAAAGCATCATTCTAGGGTGTTGTGAGAGTAAAGCAGTCAAGAAGGTGTCCTGCGTTTTCAATTTGACAAACAGGATGCTAATTGGGTAAGGAATACTGGGTAGGAACAAATTTAGAAGGTGATGAATCAAGAGCACTAGATCACACTGTATTTAAGAGGAAATGTGAACTAGAGACTTGGATACAGGATGTAATCAGTCTTAGAGGAGCAGTCAACACTAGCAGTATAGATTGAAGAATTTTAAATTTACAGATGGTATTGCTACCATGATCCTGGACTGGGAGGGAGGGATAGAAATAGAGATAGAGAGACAGAGATAGAGACAGAGATTGGATGGATGGATGGATGGATGGATGGACGGGTGGGTGGATGGACGGATGGAAAGATAGATGATAGATGATAGACAGATAGATAGATAGATAGATAGATAGATAGATAGATAGATAGATAGATGGAAAGATTTTATAAGAAAGGATATGCAGGAATAGAGTTCTAGGTCCATAAGCATTTAGGAACCAGCCTAGCAAACTAAGGAGTGACCAATGAGGTAAGATAAAAATCAATGAAGGCATTGTCAAGAACACTCCTGAAGAGGAAGTGTCTTGAGGACAGAGGCTCACTGTGTTAATACTACTGGGGTTCAAATTAGAATGAGTTTGAAGAATAGGAACTGGCAACATGGAGATCATGGATAATCTAGACAAGAACTGTTCTGTAGATTAGTGGAAGCAAAAGTCTGATCTGCTGTGGAGAGAAGAAAAATGGGAGGTGAAAAAGGAGCTCCATCCAAAGTTCATTCTTCCTGTAGACTTTCCTGTGAAGGATCAGAGGGGTGGGGGATGGGAGTAAGCATGATACATGAAGTTACTGTTTAAGATAGGGGATGTTGGGCTTTGTTGGTAGACTGATGGATAAGATCCAGGGAGCAGGGAGAGCAGGATGGTGCAGGAAAGAAAGGGGAAGTTCGGGATAGACTCAGACGTCTGCAAGTGGCTGGACTAGAATGAGGTACAAATTGTGAAGGGTGGCCTTTGACTGTGACAAGGCCACTTCTCACCAAGAATGCCACAAGGAGAAAGGAACACACGCCAGTAGCAATGCTGGCTGGGCAGCAGGTCAGCAGATGCAATGATCAGAGAGTTCCTGTGGTAAATACTTCTTTGTAAAGCATTAGATAAAGGTGTTACTGAGCATGAGAGGGGTAAAGGTGATGCTGAGTGTTTGAGGTATGGAGAATGTGATGTCACCTTACAGGGTAGGGGGATAAATATACCAAGGAAGAGTGCTAGGCTCGGATGTCTAGGCGGTGCTGAGTGCCCTCCTGTGATCTGTGGTCATAAACTGAAAGTGAAACTAACCAGTGGACTTTTAAACTGGAACCAGTGAGCAAATATTTTCCAGCAACACGGTGCTTTACCAGGACAGGTGTTCTTAACACAGGTGGGCCTTACAAGGAATAATGAAGAACAAGGAAACTGGCACAGGGAAAGCTGCAGGGGAGATAACATCACTAGAAACGGTGACATTGTTAGAGAAGAGGAGGTCAAGAAGGGGCCTTGAAATTGGGTTTGGCATGATCATCTGTGTGGCTAATGAAGCCATGGAAAATAGTGACAGAAATTAAGGTGGAGGGTGAGGCAGACACCAGAGGCCAACCTCATCAGTGAATGTGCATGAATATGGCAGTGTGTGGGGTGATAGGGAGGAGAGGGGGTATGTATCACCATGTGCTGGCAGCCAAGCAGAGTTAGAAGGAAGTTAAGTATGAGTTCAAGGGTGCTGGGAGTTTTGAAGGAAAGAGGGGAGTAATTATCAATTAGTAGCCCTAAGGAGCAAGGCAACAATGTGACCTTGCCTTTGAGCTGCGTTACCTGGGAAAGGGCTGTAGGGTAAAGATTGTTACTTGGGTGGCAGACTACTATTCATGGCAAGAAAGTTAAGGGACTATTGGGGGAAAGCTAGTGGCATGGGGGAGTTTGTTGATGACACAATTGCTGTTCCTTTCTCTCTCTCTCTCCTCTGCTCTTTCCTCCTCTCTTCCTTTCATCTTTGTGTCTTTCTGTTCATCCTCTCCCCCTTTCTTTCTTTCCTTCTTTCTCTTGAGATAAGGTCTCACTCTGTAGCATAGGGTGGTCTGAAACTCACTATGTAGCCCAGGGTGCCCTAAAACTAGCAGGTATCCTCTTGCTCAGCCTCTGAGTGTTGGGATTATAGTTTCAAGACCCCACGCCTAGTTAACAGAATATAATTTCTAATAAGGGATGTGGGTAGCTAGAGACAGAAGGAATTTGGAAAACTGTATTTGGAATTGGATATGGCAAATGATCTGGGAGACTGGGATTTCTGGGGTGACTGCTGGGAGACCGGATGGGATGCCTTAAAAGTGCTATAGAGAAGGAAAGTGAGTAACAAGTTTACCATTCCCACAATTAACTCCACATGGCATAAAGGCCACAGAGGACGAACAAAGGCCCCATCAAGGACCTGCTAGGTTAGGCAGTGGCAACTCGGTACTGTGGGAACTTCAGATTTTGCTTCAGAATAGTAGTGGGCATCTAAGGGGAAAGTAGCTTCATTTAACAAATAGGTTACAGATTATTTTCTTGAAAGGCTGAGGTGGTCTGGTGACTGTGGACTCAGGAAGTCAAAACTATTCCTTGCCTCTTCTGACTGCCAGTTGAACAGCATGAGTGAGCTTAAAGAGCTGAGCATGACTGCTCTCCTGTGGTGCAACGATAGTTGGTAGGTATTGGTGTCTAGATTAAGAGAAAGAGGAGGTCCTAGCATGGTATCCATGGAACAAAGTTTCCATTGGGGTTGACATAATGTCTGGTATAGGACAGCAGAGGGAGGTGAGGCAACATGATTTACGACTAAGCTAATTCAGCAGAAGCAGATACACAAATCTCAAGATGAGTAACAGACTCCAAGCCATTAGAAATCATAAAAATTTGGGGAAGATTTGTCTATTCCTAAACCAAGACACACTGTTTGATCTATTACTTTATTATAAATCACAGCAGAGTAAGCCTTTGTATTTGGTTCTTCTCTAAAATTTTGTTTCCTATGGGTGATGTGTCACACATACGAATTTGGGGATTGACATTAATTTCTCTTCTTCCCCCCAAAAAGAACCTTCACAAAAAACAATGTATTTTTTTTGGAATTGTACTGAATTGGTTGATAATTTTTTTATATTTCATTTTTATTGAATTTTTGCAAATTTCATGCAATACATTTTGATCTTATTTATACCCCTCCCCTATGCATACTTCCCCCATAACCCTCCCCCCACTGGATTTCATGCATTCTGTCACATACGTTAAGGCTTATTGAGCCATGTTTGTGTTCCTAAATGTCCCTTTGAATGAGTCCATCCGTTAGAGCCTAACCAACCTATTTAGTGTCATTCCCTTAAAGAAAACCCACTTTCCCTCCACAAGTAGTCATCAGTTGCCAGTAGTTCCTCAGCTACAGGTGGGGCTCCTTGTCCATTCACCCAGTTCTATGCTGGGTTTTTGTTTGGTTTGAGTTTGCCTGGGTCTTGTGCATGCTGTCACCATTGCTGTAGATTCACATGAGCAAGATCCCCTCTGCCTCCCAAGTGCTGGGATTAAAGGTGTGCACCACCAGGCCTGGCTCATTTCCCCACTTCTATGCTGGATTTTTCTTTGTTTTGAGGTTGTATAGTTCTTGTGAATGCTGTCACCATTACTGTAAATTCATATGAGCATGCTCAGTCATCTGGAAAACTTTTCTTGTGGTCATCTACCACTCCTGGCACTTACAGTCTTTCTGCCCCTTCTTCCATAATGGTCCCTGAGCCTTGGGTGGCAGAGGTTTGATACAGGTGTCCTACCCAGTGACAAGCACTCTGCAGTCTCTTATTCTCTGCATTCTGGCCAGTTGTGGCTTTTGGGTTAATCCTCTGTTACATGAGGAAGCTTTGCCGGTGAGAGTTGAGAGATGCATGATATTCTTTCTGCTCCCTCTTCTGCTATGTTCCCTGAGCCTTAGGAGTCATAGAGTCAGCTGATAAATTTGGAGATAATTAAAATCATGACAATATTAGAAGTTCCTGTTAAGAAACCTGCTATATATTTTAGTCTTTTAAAATGGCCTTCATTATGTTTTATAATTTCTATACAACAGAACTTGTAATTCCTTTTTGGAATTGCAAAGTACTTTTTAGAACTTGTTATCTTATTAATAGGAGGGCTTTTTTGTTTGTTTTTGTTTTTTGCCTGGGGCTTGAACCCAGGGCTTTATGTGTGATAGACAAGTACTCTACCACTAATCACATCCCCAGACCTATGAATAAGATTTTTTAAATTATAATTTTGGGTCTGAGGATATGGTTCAGTGGTATAGTTATTTGCTTGATATGTATGATGTCCTCCCTGGCTATGACTATCAGAATAAGAGAAAAGCTAAAATTATAATTATCTTGAACTAATCTTTGGTAGGTTTAAAAAGACACGTTGCTATATATCCCACAACCATGTGGTATTCTCTTACTTTTTCTGATTGTTCTTCTGTAGGCCTTTCTGGAGTTTTATACAGTTAGACATATTGTCTATGAGTAATATCTTTCCATTTCTTAACTTTTGATCTTTTTATTTCTTATTTTTTCTTTATATTAATTGGAATTGATGACTAGGAGGTCATTAATGAACTAGGAAAACAAAATAAATTAGTACTTGAAATGCATAATGATACTGTGGTATTATGATATAATAAGATATAGATGGGGCTGGAGAGATGGCTCAGTGGTTAAGAACACTGGTTGTTCTTGCAGAAGAGCTGGGTTCGAATCCCAGCACCCACATGGCAGCTAACAACTGTCATGACATGGGTGCACTTACCTACATGCAGGCAATACATGCATACACATAAAAAAATAAATAAAATTTTTAAAAAGATATGTATATGCATATATATATATATATATACATATATACATTTGGATTTTGTTCCTGGTTCCTGATACAAAGCACCTAAATCTCTTTGTATTTCCTGGGTGATGACTCTTTTTTTCTGAGACAAGAGACTTACTCTATAGCCTAGGTTGGCCTTAAACTCACAGCCTTAGCCTCCAAGTTTGGGAATCAGAGAAGTGAGCTACCATATGCAGCTGTATTTTGTTCTTTTAAGATGATTTTTAATGGACTATTAATAGCTTTAGGATGGCATCTGATCATCATAAAACCAAACTGATTTGAAGTTGAAATTCTCAGCCTTATGTACAGTTTTCCAGGAAGGGTAGAGGCTAGAGAGTGAGTTAATGATTGATCATGCCTATGTGATGAAGCCTCCATAAAAGCCTCTAAAGTACAGGCTTTAGAGGGCTTCCAGGTTGATATACATACATACATACCCATGTCCTGGAAAAAGGTGTAATGCAATGCCATGGGTATAGAACATCCTGTGCTTGGGACCCCTCTGGATCTCATGCTATGTACCTCTTTGTCTGGCTGTTCATCTGCATCCTATGTAAGGTCCTTTCCAGTACACTTGTAAATGTAGATAGGAGTTTCCCTGAGTTTTGTGACCTGTCTAGCAAATTATTAAATTTAAGAAGGGGGCTATGAGAGCCCTTGATTTATATCAGAGTGGTTAGAGCACAGGTTACAGACAACTTGGGACTTAGGTCTGGAATTTGGGGTGGGAGACATTCTTGTAGAAATAAGTGTCTTTAACTTTTGAGAGTTGGTGCTAACTCTACGTACCTATTGCCATTGCCAGAGTTTAATTAAACCACTGGACACCCACCTGATATCTTCAGAGAACTGAAGAATTGCTCAGTATGTGAAATCTATAATTTGCTGCCACAGTGTTGTAAATGAGAGTATAGGGGGAAAAAAAAACCCAGTTATTTCTCCTCCCTGTGCTATTACTGCAACAGGAATGGAAAAATGCATGCATAATAAATAAAATAATGTGGTATGTCAGTAATGACAATACTTATTTATATGTTGCTGGAATAGCAGATGGACTAAAAGCAATGAATAATCTTAAGGAAGATGCAACATACTAACAAGAACAAAGGACAGATGAAACCAAGGGAGATATCTACTGATTTGGTTGATTGATTTTGAAACAGGATCTTACCAAGTGGCCCAGGCTAACTTTAAGCTCAACTGCTCCACTTCACACTCCCAAGTAGCTGAGATTATAGGCAGGCAACACCACACCTGGTTTTAAGTTACTATTTTTAAGTCAAAAAGAGGTATATCTCTCCTAACATATCACACAAGCAGATGAGGTGGAGGGACAAAGAATAAATTCATAAGTATTCCAAGGAAATATGTTCACTCTATGTCATCTAGTGCATGCTGCCAGTGGAAATCACCTTTAACAAATATAAAACACTGGTTACTTCTAATATTCAATAAAGCTGTAAACTTACCATTTTGTGATGAATCCAAAGTAAGTCCAATTAATGCCACGTCATTGGCACAGGGGCACTTTGTCACACTGATATCTACCACGTACGGAATCAATCTTTTGATTTGTTTTATGGTCTTTATGGGCCCAAGATTCCACTGAAGAACTGGCTCTGTGGAAGTCAAATGTAAGCATTTAAATCATGACAGCATTCTTGAAAATGGACTACCCCTACTTTAAAAGTTTTACAGAAACTGTGTAAACAAAATATTCAATTGGTTTAAAAAAAAGCATATAGTATGATCTCACACTTTAGCCACTAAAAGTAGTCAATTCTTATTGTCTAAAGGAGAATGAAATTTAATTTCCTTGATGGGAACCTGGTAAGGTCAAACTGCTAAGGAGTAAGTAGGGTGCTATCTTCCATATTTGGATAATACCATGTCACATGGCCTGTCCTTAATCGAATAGTTGGATTACAGGGCAGGCACATTTGTAATTCACAGGACCACTTCTAGTTCAAAAGCATTTATTTTTTGCTCTCTTCCCCAGTAAAGCAGTAGATAAATAAAGAGCTAAACACAGAGTAGCAGTGGAGAACAGAGACATTATCATCAGCGGGCAAGAAATTTATAAGGATCTCTAGAAAATAGAAAGAAATTGGGAGTGGGTTAAAGGAAAAACCAATCTGCTGTGACACATCTTCAGCCCAGCACAGGCCAGGGTCTTTCATGTGTTAAGTGAGTCATGTCTTTCAGGAACTGATGTCTTTTTTAAATTTTTTTTTTCCTTTTTTGTCTTTTTAAGACAGGGTCTCCCTGTAGCCCAGGCTGACATAGAACTCACTATGTAGACCAGGCTGATCTTGAACTCACAGAGATCTGCCTCCCTCTGCCTCCTCTGCCCTGCTGGGATTAAAGGCGTGTGCTACCATACCTGGATTCCAAATTGAGGTCTTTTTAATTCCTCTGCTTTTGTTTTTGCTAGGCGCTAGCTCAGGAGCTTTTAAATATCCATTTTTCTCCCAATCCTTTCTTTCCTCTCTGGGAAGTGTTCCACTGACCCCCTAGAAGGAGGGAAGGTCTCCTCAGGTTCTCTACTACCATCCTGAGCTTCCCTGGAACTGAAGAATGAAACTACACTCTTCCTCACCAGGCTGGGGCAGGCAATGATCCTTTTTAAAAGACTTAACCAAACACTACACATTTTAAAATTTAAAATATGCAACAAATTTCAGCTAAAGTAAAATCTTCATGCATGAAAAACAGGAGGAATTGTTTTCTCCTGGGGGGGGGATTTCTGGAAAAATTCAGAAAAATAATCTCATTGTGAAATTTTATGAGGAAAAAAAGTACACATACAAATACAAGAACAAAAACAAACCAGGGCAATTTGAAAGAATACTACTGTTCTACCCCCTGCAACAGTCAAAGACATTTAAGAACATAACAATCAGATCTTAGCTATTTATATTCTATAGTATAATTTTACCTCCCCAAACTTCCTGTAAAATCAACCGCGACCCCCAAAACCTTAGGAAACTTTTCCCCCCAATTTTGTCAAAGCAAGAGTTCAGTTTCTGCTTTATATAGTGCAGCCAAGGTACAGCAGAGAAGGGAAAGAAACAATGCACAATTAAACACATTCAGCAGGACTTAGTGAAGCTTAGGGTCAGGGAATGGACTTTATGGGGTGTAATGAGTTTGCAAGTCATTCATACCAGATCTTAGAGGACAAGGAAATTTGAGTTTATGACTGCCCTGAATTGACATTGCCTCTGCAATTAAGGAACTATTCAGCTTCTTGGACAAGGAAATATGAGTTTATGACTGCCCTGAATTGACAGTGCCTCTGCACTTAAGGAACTCTCCAGCTCTTAATACTATATTTTAAGCCTTGTAAGAACCAGAGCATAATTAAAAGTTTTGACTGCTGCTACAAAGTTAAAAAAGAGAGAAAAGGGGACTGGAGAGATGGCTCAGTGGTTAAGAGCACTGGCTGCTCTTGCAGAAGACCCAGGTTCGAATCCCAGCATCCACAGGGCAACTAACAACCAACCGAAACTCCAGTTCCAGGGGATCCTACACCCTCTTCTGACTTCCGCAGGCACTGCACAACATACAGGTTCACTTACATACACTTAGGCAATACACTCACATAAAATTAAAATAAGAAAGTAAAATTTTTTAAAAAAGAGTGAGAAAAGTGACCAATGTGCAGGCCACTGCTGACCCATGATTAAAGCAGTTCAAGTGCAGAAGACAGAAAGCAGATGCATGGCCTGGGTTTCCATTAGATATGAAGCAACAGAGACAGAATTTTTAAGCACCTCTTTTCATTTGAGTAGTGGATAAAGATTTCTAACCATTGCCCTCATCTTTCTTGACTCCGACTTCCTTGTTTGCCCCTCACGTCTTCAGCATTTCAGGAATGGACACTTCTTTATAATAACCATAGGATTCTTTCTCTGTACTTCCATCTGGTTCCACCACAACCTGATTACAGGCCAGCTGGGTGGATGGCTGCAGCAGCTGCTAGCCACTGCCTTTGCTCCCTTCCTGCCATCCTTCCCCAAGAGTAAGGTCACTGGCTGACAAGCTCAAGTCAGAATGCATCACTTTCTCACTCAACACAGTCAATGCCTTTTCATTATAATTAGTAAAAAGCTCACACTTTTCACCCTGATCCCTGCCAGCTTCTCCAAACTCAGGACACACCAGCCACTCTGCCATTTTCTATGCTTCAGAAACAATGGACAGCTTTCACTTACTCAAAATGATCAATCTATTTCTGGAGTCTTCTAAGTCTAATTTGTGAAGCCTTTGCCTGCCGTAACATTTCTATACAGTCTCAATAACTACAAACATAAAGTGTTGATGCATTTATCTCAATACGCAAATTGATTCAGATTTTTCTAAAACTCAAAATTTTAATGCTTAAGAGAAGCATATATTAGCCAAGTATCAGAGTCCCAAAGCCAATACTATAATTATCATTAAATAATTGACTATTTAAAAAATTTTAAGTATGAAGAAAATAAAAAGTACATTATTTTGTCATTTTTGTTTCAGGTTATTTTATTTCTTTTTGTGTGATCTGGTTATCAAACTCAGGTCCTTGCATAGGTTAGGCAAGCTTTCAATCACTGAACTACATACTTAGTGCTAAATATTTTCATTTTTGTTAAAGAAATAAAACAGAAGATATAGTATTGAAGATTTCTCTGTTTCCCTCCAGAATCCTATTTGCAAGTTATCTCCAAATGCATAAAATTGCTGGGTATATTTCTTTTCTTTTTTTGAAAAAGATATTTTATTTTTATTTTATGTATATGAGTGTTTGCCTGCATGTATGTATGTGCACAATGTACCTGGTGCTCAGGAAGGTCAGAAGAGGGCATCAGATCCCCAGGAACTGGAGTTAAAGACAGTTGTGGGTGCTAGGAACTGAACCCAGGTCTTTTGCAATAACAGCAAGTGCTCTTAACCTGAGTCATTTCTCCAGCCCCTGTTGTGCATTTCTAGTCAGTGTGTGTGTGTATGTGTGTGTATGTGTGTGTAGACAACCTTGTACATTCTTCAAGCATTGTACATCTTGTTTTTGTTAAAAAATATTTTATTAATTATTTTATGTGTATGACTGTATTGTCTGCATGAATGTAAGTGCACCTGTGTCATGCAATGCTCATGGAGGTCAAAATAGGGCATTGGGGGACTGGAGAGATGGCTCAATGGTTAAGAGCACTGACTGCTCTTGCAGAGGACCTGGGTTCGATTCCCAGTACCTACATGGTGGCTATGAACTGTCCTTAACTATAGTTCCAGGGGAATCCAAAACCCTCTTCTGACCTCCGCGGCATTGCACAACATGGGTGCACTCAAATACATGCAGGCAATACACTCATACACATAAAATAAAAATAATAAAGAAAATAATTTTAAAAAGAGGGCATTGGAGTCCCCTGGAACTGGAGTTATGGATGGTTGTTAGCTGCCATGTGAGTGCTGAGATATGAACCCAGGTCCTCTGCAAGAGCAACCAGTGCTCTTAACTGCTGAACCATCTCTCTAGCCTCCCACCCTTTTTTTTTTTTTTTGAGACAGGGCTTCTCAATAGCCTGGGGTTCACTGATTAGGTTGGGCTGGCTAGTCAATCAGTCCCAAGAATCTACCTATCTCTGCTTCCCCAGTGCTGGGATTATAAGTACATGTGTCACAAACATCCAACTCTTTTGTGTGGGTTCTAGGAATTGAAATCAGGTTTTCATGATTGCAAAGCAAGCACTTTACCAACTGAGCTATATCTCCCTAGCCCTAGTCCAATATTATTTCGTTGTTGTGTTTTTATGTGCTTTATTTTTACTATTGTTTATGTATACATGAAGATATATAGTGTTGCTTTGTGTGTTTCCTGAACCTTAGATAATTTCCTACTCTATTTTTAATTTTAAAAGTTATTATTATTGTGTGCATGTATTATTATTGTGTATATGTGTGTGGGGACGTGCACTTGCCACAGCACGTGTGGAGGTCAGAGGACAACTTCAGGAGTCAGTTCTTTTCTTCCACCTGGGTTTCCAGGATTGAACTCAAGTTGTCAGGCTTGTGGGACAAGTACCTTTACCTGTGAACCATCTCACCAGCCCTCCTATTCTATCTTTTTAAGAAATATTTTATTATTTTTATTTTATGTGAATGAGTGTTATGCCTGCATGTATGTAAGTGTACCCGTGTCATGCAATGCCCACAGAGGACAGAAGAGGCTGTTGGATCCCTTGGAACTGGAGTTACAGACAGTTGTCAGCTGCCATGCGGGTGCTGGGATTCGAACCCAGATCTTCTGTAAGAACAGTGTTCTAAACTGCTGAGCCATCTCTCTAGCCCCTCAATCTTTTTTTTTTTAATGTGTGTGGTATGAATTCCTGAGTGCACGTGTATATATGGGTGCACATGCACATGTGTGTACATGCATGTGGAGGCCTAAAGGTGATGCTGGTGTTTTCTTTGTTTGCTTTCCACTTCATCCACTTCATTTATGGAGACAGGATCTTTTGCTGAACCTGGAGCTCCCTGATTCTGGCTAGTCTACCTCACCAGCTTGCCATCCACCCCAACCTCCAGCATCCCCCATCTTTGTCTTCCAAGTGCTAGGATTACAGACAACTGCCACACCTACCCAGCTTTTACGTGGGGTCTATGGATCTGAACTCTGGTCCTCACACTTGCACAGCAAGTGCTGTATCCACTGAGCCTTCTCCCCTCACCTTTCCTACTTTATTATGTAACTTGATTTTTTTATTTTTTTGAGACAGGGTCTCCCTGTAGCTCCAGCTGTCCTGGAACTCACTATGTAGACCAGGCTGGCCTTGAACTCACAGAGATCCGCTTGCCTCTGCCTCCCAAGTGCTGGGATTAAAGGCGTGTGCCACCATGCCCAGCTCGAAACTTGAGTTTTTACTTAAAGTTTTTAGTTTAGCTCTCTCTGATATGTATGTATCTGTTTTTCCATTGTAATGGACAAACCAATATGCATTTGTTTTCCCCCCTATTTATGGACATTTGGGTTGTTTCCAGTTCTTTTATTACAAACAATACTGTATTAAATAGATTGTACATGTCTCTTGGGCACATTTGTGACCCATATTCTTCTAGAACAATTTTCAATCTCCATGCACAGCAGAACAATGTTGGGAGACTGGCTAAAGCTCCAGTTGCCCAGCCTTATGTGTAGAGACAGATTTTAATTGGTGCATGTATGGTGGAGTCTAATGAGCATTTGTTACTTTTTGAAAGGCTCCCCAACTGTTTTTTCCATAAAATGCGATGTTAATTTATTTTTCTGCAGTCTATGTAGCATTATATCATAATAGTACTAATCAGCAAAAAAGAAAGTGAAAATACAAGATCTGGAGCTTGAGGATTAAAAATAAATCCCTCATGCAAAAATGCTACCTACAGGTGATCAAAAAAAACTTGGGCTATTCAATTCTTGTCAGTCAACTGAAAAAGAGGAGCCTAATCAGTTTTACCATTCAGCATTCATGAACATAAAATAACTGTTTTTACTTTTTATTTTATGTACATGACTGTTTTGCCTGCATTTATGTAAGTGAACCATGTGTGGGCAGTGTCCATGGAGCAAGAACTGGAACTGGAGTTATGGATGACTGTCAGCTGCTGTGTGGGTGCTGGGAACTATACCCGGGTCCTCTGCAAGAGCAGCCAGTGCTCTTAATCACTAAGCCACCTCTCCAGCCCCAACAATTAATTTTATAAAAATTAACTCATGAAAATTAATTGTTCTTCTGGTCATCATGGTGCACAGCACTCAGGAAGCAAGCTGAGGCAGGAGGATGGTGAGTTCCAAGGCCTGCCTGAACTGCACAAGGGAAAAAACAAACAAAAATCCAGCAAAAGTCAGCCTCAACTGTTTTTACCTCAATGGAACAAGATGTTTTGGTCCTCATGAAACAAGACTGTGTTGTTTTGGAGATGTAGCTTAGGGGCAAAGTACTTGTTTAGCAGTGCTTAGATTTTTGTAGGCCTAGGTTCAGTCTTCAGCATGGAAAAAAAGACCAAACAAAACAACAACCAGAATTGTGCTTTGGAATGCACTTGTATTTGAAAGCAAAGACTGTGATACAATGAACAATATCTAACATGAATACCCATTATCTGAGTTACTTCCTGTTGCTATGATAAAATCTAGACTAAAACCAACTTGGGGAGGAAAGAGTTTATTTGGCTTACAGCACAGTCCATCACTGCACAGTCCACCACTGAGGGAAGTCAGGGCAGGAACCTGGAGGCAGGAGCTGAAGCACAAACCATGGAGGAACGCTGCTTACCAACTTGCTTCTCTGATATGTGCTCAGCCTGCTTGCTTATACAACACAGGACCACCTGCTGAGGGGTGGCACTGCCCACAGTGTGCTGGGCCCTCCAACATCACTCAACAATCCAGAAAATGCCCCACAGATATGGCCACAGACCAATCCAATAGAGAAAATTCCTTAATTGAGGCTCACCTCTACCCAGGTGTGTCAAGTTGACAACTGAAGCTATCCAACATACACATCAAAGACATAAAATCTAATTACATATAGCCACTGTTTAGAATGACCTCCAAGATGGCTATTGTAAAATAAATTTCCATGTTTTTAAAGCCATTTTGAGGATTAAGAAAAATGCCTCATGAAACTGTGCTACCTATAGGTGATCAAAAAACCTGGGCTGTTCAGTTCTTGTCAGTCATTTGGAAAAGAGGAGCCTCATCAGTTTTACCACTCAGCATTCATGAGCTTAAAATATTTTTTTTTAATTTTATGTATATGAGTGTTTCGCCTGCATGTATGTAAGTGTACCATGTATATGCAGTGCCCATGGAGCAAGAACTGGAACTCTGTGAAGACTTCTATTAAAAAGTACTCAAATATATTTAATTCCTTTTCTGCTCCATCAGGCTGTGAGCCCTTCAGGGATCATGGTCATCTGGGACTTGGGACAAAATTTGTCATATAGTACACATAATAATTTACTGAAAGAATATATGAATTCCATCTTACTTCATCTGCTGGTATTTACCTCGGACAATATCCAATAGGGTCCCCTCAGTATCATAAATATTTAATCCTTCATGTAAAGTTATCCTTACTACCCATTCTTCTACAGCTGCAATATCTGAAAACAGAAGACAAATAACTTTTTATATGTCATGTTGGTGAAACTTAAAGCTATGTGAACATTACCAACAACAATAACTTTTCCTTTTACAACCATTTGACTACACTTATGTGTCAAATTTCCCACATTTTTCTACAAACATTTTTTTCTGATAATGAAAAAAGAATGATGAAATAATTTTTACTACCAAAGCAATGTGGATAAATAATGATAAATTAGATCATAGCTTCTCTCCTAGAGTCATTGTGGCCTGGTAAAAAGAAAATCATGACCTTTTTGTGAAGTGCATAATATTATTTAAAAGTATCTGTTAAAGAAAAGTATAGGACTTGATGATGTCACTGATGAATTCTATCGAACACTTAAGGAAGAACTAGAAGCATTTCTTCTCAAATTATTCAAAACAACTGAAGAGGAAAGGACACTTCTTAATATGTCTTAACTCATTCTATAAGACCAGCATTACCCTGGTATCATAACCAAACAAGGGCAAACCATAAAGAGAAAACTTCAGGGCTGGAGAGTTGGTTCAGTGGTTAAGAGAACTGACTGCTCTTGTAGAGGACCTGGGTTCAACTCCCAGTACCCACATGGTGGCTGTTGGGACTTCACTCTGATGGACTATAACCTCCACTCTGATAGACTGTAACCTGGAACTCTGAACTAAAACAAATCCTTTGTTTCTTAAGTTTCTTTTGTCAGGATACACACACATGGTGTGTGTGTTTGTGTGTGTTACAGTGAAGATGTGGAGGTCAGAGGACAACTTGCAGGTGTCAGTTCTCTGCCTCCACCATGTGGGTCCCAGAGATTGAACCCAGGTTGTCAGACTTGGCAGAAAATGCTTTTACCCACTGATCCATTTCACAGCCCCTGTCAGTGTATTTATCACAGAAAGAGGAAATGAAAATAAGATGCTACAATATTGATAAATCTCCAATGAATTATGCTAAGAAGCCAGACTCCACAGTGACATATTCTTTGGTTCCATTTATGTGTCCCTGAACAGGCTAGAAATTGGAAGAGAAAACAGACAAGTACTTATAGGTGTCTTAGAGTCCAATTGTAATCACTATAATCAAGATATAAAACAGTTCTGTCATCCACTAAAACTATTCCACCTACATGGAATAATTCTATTGGATGATGAAACTGATACAGATCTCAGTACATAAGATTCTTTGGTTCCATTTATGTGTCCCTGAACAGGCTAGAAATTGGAAGAGAAAACAGACAAGTACTTATAGGTGTCTTAGAGTCCAATTGTAATCACTATAATCAAGATATAAAACAGTTCTGTCATCCACTAAAACTATTCCACCTACATGGAATAATTCTATTGGATGATGAAACTGATACAGATCTCAGTACATAAGAGTGTGTGTGTGTATATATATATATATATATATATATATATATATATATATATGTGTGTGTGTGTGTGTGTGTATATATTTGTGTATGAGTATATTGCCTGCATGTATGTATGTGCACCTGTGTTCTGCAATGCCTGTGGAGGTCAAAAGAGGGCAGTGAATCCCCTGGAACTGGAGTTAGGGAGGGTTGTTAGCTCCTGGGAACTGAACCCAGGTCCTCTGCAAGAGCAGCCACAACTTTTAACTGCTGAGCCATCTCTCCAGCCCCATAAGTGAATATTTTATTAAATTCAAATTATCCCTTATTTTAAAATGAAATGAAAGCAGCAGTATAAATCAAGGAAGGATTGTTTTTTCCTTAAAAGGTATAAGGAGTTCATAGTGGAGATACTCATATGAAGTAAATAAAGTTTCTCTCAGAAAGGCAAACATTGTATGCTTTCTTTCATTTGTGGGTCCTAGATTTTACATAGATATATAGAATCATATATGTCCAGATGACATGAGAGTGAATATAAAGTTGTCTAGGTGAATGAAGGGGACAAACAGGAGGTGGGAGGGTGAAAGGACAGGGCATGGAGGAGAATATACTCAAAGCAGATTACACACTTGCCTCAAAATAGCCTCGTGTAACCCAGTATAAGAAAATTAAAAGTTAAAAAATGATTTATGCAGTTCATATTTCAAACCTCCTTCACCACTTTCTAGCTACCATTCAATCTCCATATGGCTCCACGAATATCAGAGTCTCTAGAGTATATTTCCTATAGTGACAATTAAATGGGTTGCTGGAGGTAAAGTGTGTAGAAGGATGCCGAGGTATGACGTCCTCCTGCTATTTCTGCTACAAGCATGATGAACATTTTTAAAGAGTTCTCACGTACAGGTAGTCTTTAGCTTGTGATGGTTGCACTTAGGATCTTTTTGCTTCATGGTGGTAAAAGTGGTATGCATTCAATAGAAATTATATTTCACCTTCTGAATTGTGATCTTTTCTTAGGCTGGTGGTATGTGCAAAGGTGTGCTCTTGTGATGTTACATGATAGCACTGTGATGTTACATGATAGCACCACCCAAGCACAAGGGGAAGCAATTGTGTTCCTAAGCTATGGATAAACAACAAACAAATTAATGTCAATATTATGCCTATAATAACAGTATTACCTCTTTAAAAATATTTTATTTATTAATTTCATTTTATGTGTATGAGTGTATTGCCTGCATGTATGTAAGTGCACCTGTGTTGTGCAATGGCTGCAGAGGTCAGAAGAGGGCATTAGATCCCCTGGAATTGGAGTTAAGGATGGTTGTTAGCTGTCATGTGGATACTGGGAACCAAAGCCAGGTCATCTGCAAGAGCAGACAGTGCTCTTAACTGCTGAGCCATCTTTCCAGCCCCAATCTTATATTTTTATACTAATGAAAGCACAATTTAAAGACTCCAAATTTCAAGATAAACTAATTGCAAAGAAATTATAAAACATTAATAAAATCCCTCTATGTGCATGCGTGCATGTTCATATGTGGAGTTCACTCATGCATGTGCCACAGTATGTAGAGGTCGGAGGACAACCTTGGGTGTCTGTCAGGCAAGCCTCAGGGAGTCTCCTTTCTATGTCTCCCGTCTCTCCACAGGAACACTGGGATTCCAAGTGCACAATACCAAGGCTTGTTTTATGCGGTTTCTGAGGATCTGAACTTGGATCCTCATGCTTTTGTTTCAAGCACTTTATCCACTGAGGCATCTCTCCAGTATTTTTTAAATGGGATGAATAAAGAGTAAACACAGTACATGTCACCTCTCACAGCACCAGTGCTCCTGCTAGGGACTTTTTATCCTTGACATTTCCTTATCTATGGAATCTTTTCTGTCATCTCTGCTCAATTCTTACTTTCCCCACCTTCATTTGGTAGGACACAATCCTTTCCCAAGGCTAAAAGGTTGGCCTGTATGATTCCCTATTCCACTCTCCTGATCCTGCGTTGCCTGCCCTCTTAATTGGCACAGAAGTAAATGTCAGAGAACAGAGAGCCAACTGATATTCTCCTGAGAATTTGGAACTGGGTTGGCCTTTAGGAAAAATACATAAAAGTCCAAAAGTACTAGGGCCCCTTTAGAAAGCCAGTTTGCAAAGAAAGAAAGAAAAATAAATTACACAGATAAGAGATAAGAGTAGATAAGAAAGACAAGGTGGGTTCTTGATGGTTTTCCATCTCTTATTTCTAATTCCTCTCTCCAGTGTGACTGCATTTTTGTCTTTGGTTCCCATGGCTAAATTAAACTTCCTTTTCTTAAAGTAACAAAGTCAGTGTTTGTTTCTTGCACATACCACACCAAAACAGCAAGTTTCCACCATTTTTTTCACCTATAGGAACATATACCATATCCAAAGATGCATTAACTTAGTCCATTAGCTCAATATGCCCAGCTCCTGGAACCTGACATTCCTCCTCTTCCCTTCTGGGTATATGCACCTGGGTATGATGTCATGCTTCCACATGCCACTTATGAGAACGAAGTAATACGTCACACAGTGCAGCCTCTAACGTTTTAAGATTAACTCAATTTCAGTAAAGTTATCAATGGCAATTTTCCCAATCCTTCAATTTCCAACTTCTAGAATGAGTTTTCTTTAAATAAAGGATGGTATAAATGCTGACACAGTCAACTGATGGTAAGATTGCCATATAAAACTCTCAGAAGACCCACAAATAAGTCCCACATAACTATATGGGACATCTACAAGGAATAATGCATAAGTTATTAAATGTAATCAATCTTTTTATTTGCTAGATTTGGCAATTCAGACCTATGAGTACAAGAATTACTTCAGATCTCTATTACCTGTGTTTCCTGTGATGTTTTCTCTAGGAATGGTAATTAACCAGAAAACCTGATCACTGACCTTGAGAAGAGAGGACACCAGAAAACATTATTTTACAATGTTAATAATAACACTATTTTGGCATAGTCTATCAAAAATTTAAAAATAAAATTAAGCAAAAATATTAAAATGTAAATACATATGTATACATATCAATAAAAGATTTTATCTAGCAAATTTCAGTGTTAGGAACTTTTCCTACATTGTAGTCACAGATAAGTGAAATGGAACGTATTCAAAGATATTTTGCATCATTGTTATAGCACAAGGCTGAAAATGACGAGCATGTTAGGAAGTTTTATAATAACATAGTCACATGTTTGCACAGCTCAGGAAGCACAAAGTTAAAGCATTACTGGCTTGAAAATTCAGAGGCAAAGCATGGGCTTTTCAGAGCATTTGGAAGTTTAAGAGGGAAATGCCAGGAATAAGAGAATTGTAAGAATAAAGAGCTCTAAAGTTTTCATATAAACTGTGCCTAAATCCTAGTGCTACACAGGTACAGACAACACTCCTAGAAGGCCAGGTTTAAAAAAAAAAAAAGACTGTGGGGGCTGAAAGAATTAGCAGAGGTATCAATCATTGAAACTATAAGCAGTGCAACTCGCACTTTGTTTTTACCAAAGCAAATTACCTGCCTCCTAGATTAACAATAAAACTAGCATTTCTTAGAGGAACAGGAAAGAATCTAGAGTTTCTACAACAGATTAACTTCAGAGTCCAGTTTTCAACCAAAAATGACAAGATAGGAAAATAAGCTGGAAAGTATAACTGTTATTCAAGGGGAAAGACGTAGGGAGCAAGCTACTCAAAATCCAGATAACAGACCACGAATTAAGGGACGTTTCTCAAATATGTGCATAGATTTAAGGAAAACATCCTGAGGAGGGAATGGATAGAGAACTCCAACACAGAAATAGAAAAGGCAAAAAAAAAAAAAAAAAAAAAAAAAAGGCTGAGAAGTCTAATACCTGAAGTAGAATATCTACTAAACAGGTTCAGTAGCAGATAGAAGACAAAGGGCAAATGTATTAGGCATAGAGCGATTGAAACTACCCAATAATGAAGAAGGACACAGTAAGCATGACTACAGATACAAAAAGTTACAAAACGGGGTTTTGATATCTTCTTCATAAGAAATGATGTGAACATGTATTGAAACACCATGTGATACTCCTTTAACGTGTAATTTTTATATTTTATATATCACTTAAATTTAGATAAAAAGGAAAATAACTAAAGAAAAATGAGTGGTTTTAGAGACTTGTGGGACATCATGATTTCTGAAATGTACATAATTAGAGTCAGAACAGGAAAAGAAACAGAAAAAGTAGGCAGAAAGATGGGTAAATAATTATCCAAGGCTTTCAAAATTCAGTAGACATACAATTCGAGAATCTCAGACACTCAAGAGAATCTCAGTCAGAAAAATATTAAGAGAAAAACGCAAATAAGTGCAGGGGAAATGATGCACTGCTTACAGGGACAGTAACTACAGTGAAAAACTATCCAGAAACAACAGTGGTAAGTGACATTAGACTGGGATATTCAAAACGCTGAAAGAAAATCAAGCCAACCAGGAATGGTACCTGACAAAACCAGTTTCCAAAAATTCAGGTAACTACTAAAAATCCCTTTGAATTCACAGTAAGTTTAGCAAAGTTGAAAGATAAAAGAAAAATATAGAAGAGAATAAAATTTTGGAGACAGAGTTAACAAAAAAAGAATTAAAAGGTATACTCTTGAAAACTATGAAACACTATTGGTAGAAATCAAAGATCTAAATAAATGGAAAGATGTCTCAAACTCATCATTTGAAAGCTTAATATTACTAAAATGCCAACGCTAACCGAATTTATCTGCAGATTGCACACAATCTAGCAGAATCCAGCAGGCTATTTGTAGATCTTTGCAAGGTTATCCTAAAACTCACAAAGAAGCCCAGGGGACCCAGACGAGAAAAAACGGAAAAGATAAGTCAGAAAATTCACGCTTCAAAATGTAGTACAAATCAGCAATATCAAGGCAACATGATATTAACATAAGATTAGAAACACAGACCAAAGCAACAGCATTAAAACAATAAGGAAAAAGAATACTCTTCAACAAACGGTGCGAGAGTGCACGCAAAAGAATGACCAGGGCTCGTAGGGCTCCGCCCGCAGGCGGCCTGCTCTCTGATTGGCTGGCGCCTCTGGGGCGGATTTGAAACCTGGCGGTTAAAACTCCAGTTGGGAGGGTGCCAGGAGAAGATGTGGGAAGGGCATTTAGTTTGAGCAGGTGCAGAAGATCATGAAGGAAGAGGTGAAGGGAATTCCTGTGAAAGTCGCACTGCGGTGTCGCCCTCTGGCCCCTAAAGAGATTGGTGAGGGCTGCCAGATGTGCCTTTCCTTCGTGCCTGGGGAGCCTCAGGTGATGCTTGGCGCGGACAAGTCCTTCACCTACGATTTTGTGTTTGACCCTTCTACGGAACAGGAGGAGGTCTTCAATACAGCAGTGGCACCACTCATAAAGGGAATTTTTAAAGGTTACAATGCAACCGTCCTGGCTTATGGACAGACTGGCTCTGGAAAAACCTACTCAATGGGAGGCACATACACTGCAGAGCAGGGGAATGAGCCAACAATCGGGGTTATTCCCAGGGCGATACAACTTCTCTTCAAGGAAATCGACGAGAAGAGTGAATTTGAATTTACTCTGAAAGTCTCTTACTTGGAGGTTTACAATGAAGAAATTTTGGATCTTCTATGCTCATCTCGTGAGAGAGTTTCTCAAATAAGTATCCGCGAGGATCCTAAGGCTGGCATAAGGATTGTGGGACTCACTGAGAGGACTGTTTCCCTTGCCTCTGATACCATTTCCTGTTTGGAGCAGGGCAACAACTCCAGGACTGTGGCTGCCACAGCTATGAATTCCCAGTCTTCCCGATCTCATGCTATCTTTACAATATCCGTAAGGCAAAGAAAAAAAGCAGACAAGGACAGAAGCTTTCACTCTAAGCTGTGCCTTGTAGACCTTGCTGGGTCAGAAAGACAGAAGAAAACCAAGGCTGAAGGGGATCGCCTAAAAGAGGGTATTAATATTAACCGAGGACTCCTGTGCTTGGGAAACGTCATCAGTGCTCTTGGAGATGACAAAAAGAGCAGCTTTGTGCCCTACAGAGATTCCAAGTTAACTCGGCTGCTTCAAGATTCTCTAGGAGGCAACAGCCACACTCTGATGATCGCTTGTGTTAGTCCTGCTGACTCCAGTCTGGAGGAAACATTAAATACCCTTCGCTATGCTGACAGAGCAAGGAGAATCAAGAACAAACCTGTTATTAATATTGATCCCCAGACAGCTGAACTCAATCATCTTAAGCAACAGGTACGACAGCTACAGGTTTTGTTGTTACAGGCACGTGGAGGTGCCCTGCCTGGATCTATAAATGGAGACCCATCAGAGAATCTACAGTCCCTGATGGAGAAGAATCAGGCCCTGGTAGAAGAGAATGAAAAATTAGGTCATGGTCTGAGTGAGGCAGCTGGTCAGACAGCCCAGATGTTGGAGAGGCTCATTTTAACAGAACAAGCAAATGAAAAAATGAATGCCCAGCTGGAAGAGCTCAGGCATCATGCCGCCTGCAAACTGGATCTTCAAAAGCTAGGGGAGACTTTGGAAGATGAAGAATTAAAAGAAATCGTAGAGACAATTCAGAGCCTGCAACAAGTGATTATCCAGCTATCAGATGAAACTATGGCTTGCCTAACTGCATCTGCTGAATCTGCAATGGAACCAGAAGCTCACAAGGAAACCAGTCCAGAGCCTAGGAGGTCTTCAGGGGCTTTTGCCACACAGCATGCTCTACATCAAGCTCAGATGTCTAAGGAGCTCACCGAGTTGAATAAAGCCCTTGCACTAAAAGAGGCCCTAGCTAGGAAGATGACTTGCAGCAATAGCCAACTACAGCCCGTTCAGTTGCGGTACAAGGCTAACATTAAAAGTCTAGAATCGAAAGTCACCAGTCTACAGAAGGAAAAGGAAGAGCTGCTGCTAGAACTTCAGACAGCAAGGAAGGATGTCAACCAAAGTAAGCTGAGTGAGCACTGCCACAAATGTCTCCAAGAGCTGGAGGGCCAAATAGCTGATTTGAAGAGGAAACTAAGCGAACAGTCCAAACTTCTGAAACTGAAGGAATCCACAGAACATACCATCTCCAAACTGAACCTAGAGATCCAGGCAATGAAAAACCAGCGAGTACAGTTAATGCGCCAGCTGAAGGAGGATGCGGAGAAGTCTAGACAGTGGAAGCAGCAAAAAGACAAAGAAGTAATTCAATTGAAAGAAAAAGACCGTAAGAGGCAATATGAGTTGCTCAAACTTGAGAGAAACTTCCAGAAACAGGCCAACGTGCTCAGACGTAAAACTGAAGAGGCAGCAGCTGCCAACAAACGCCTTAAGGACGCTCTCCAAAAGCAACGGGAGGTGTCAGATAAACGGAAAGAAACTCAGAGCTGTGGAACAGAAGGCATGGTGGCTCGAGTTAAAAACTGGCTTGGAAACGAAATTGAGATTATGGTCAGCACTGAGGAAGCCAAACGTCATCTGAATGACCTTCTTGAAGACAGAAAGGTCCTTGCTGTAGAGGTGGCTCAACTTAAAGAAAAACAGGAATCTAGGGAGAACCCACCTCCTAAATTCCGGAGGTGCACATTCACAAGTGAAATCCTATGTGATCAAGTTTCAGCGTCAGAGGATTCCATCACAAAGCAGATTGCAAGCTTAGAGACTGAAGTGGAACTCAGGACTGCCCAGATCGCTGACCTTCAGCAAAAACTCCTAGATGCAGAAAGCGAAGACAGGCCAAAACAACGCTGGGAGAATATTGCTACGATTTTGGAAGCCAAGTGTGCCCTAAAATACTTAATTGGAGAAGCAGTATCCTCCAAAATACAGGTCAGCAAGCTTGAAAGCAGCCTGAAACAGAGCCAGGCCAGCTACACCAACATGCAGAAATTGCTGTTTGAGGAACAAAGCCATCTTGCTGAGGTAGAGACAGAGTTAAAAGCTGAGCTGCTCAAGGTGGAGCAAATACACCAGGAGAAGGTGCTGTACCTTCTCAGCCAGCTGCAGCAAAGCCGAATGGCAGAGAAACAGTTGGAGGAGTCGATTACTGGGAAGGAACAGCAGCTGCTGAGCACACTGCAGTGTCAAGATGAACACCTGAGGAAAATGCAAGAAGTGTGTGAGCAGAACCAGCAGCTTCTCCAAGAGAATGAAGCCATCAGGCAGAAACTGATCCTCCTCCAAGGAGCCCGTGGACAGAAATCTGACCGTTCTACGGAGATCCTTCAGTCTTCAGATTCTTCCTTTGACTATGTCCCACCTAAACCCAAGCCTTCCTGTGTTAAAGACAAGCTGGTAGCACAAAGCGCAGACACTGAGGATCTAAAGTGTTATTCTGAGCATTCAGGGAAGGAGTATGAAGATAGTGATACGGAGGATGAGGAATGGAAACCAAGGAAATTCATTAAGATGTCCAGGAAGATCATTCAAGGGTGTTCCTGCAAGGGCTGGTGTAGGAACAAGCAGTGTGGCTGCAGGAAGCAAGGGTCAGACTGTAGTGTGGCCTGTGGCTGTGACCCCACGAAGTGCCGAAACCGCCAAGATAGCTTGGCTTCTATCGAGTGGAACCAGGATTCTGAATGCTCCTTCAAGCTGGACGATCCCACAGAGGTGACCCCAGGACTGAGCTTCTTTAACCCTGTCTGTGCCACGCCCAGCACCAAGATCCTCAAAGAGATGTGTGATATGGATCAAGTTCTGTTAAGGAAGACTGCTCTTGCTCTTTCCTTTGATCTCCCAGAAATAAAACAGAGAGCAGCAGAATCCCAGGGGAAGAAAGCCCCAGGGAAGAAGAAGAGGAGAGCTCTGGCCAGCAATACCAGCTTCTTCTCTGGCTTCTCTCCTTCTGAAGAAGAGACCCATTGAGCGTGGAGGCATCTCTACTTTCCATCTGCCCTGGGAGACACTTCCAGGGTGCAGTCAGGAGGGTTTTCTAATAACGTCTCTGGATTTTAGGTTTCTTGCTATTGAGGAAGAGGACCTTTGCTGAATATGGTTGTTTTTCTCCAGCCCCCCAACCCAAGACCACTGTTTTCTGGTCCAGAATGCGAACTACATACTGAAGAATCAACCAACGTTCCCAGGAACCATCAGGAACCAGGCCTCAGTTCTTTGTGAGCGTGCAATTCTGTCTTCTCATGGAGGTGAGGCTGAGGCTTCCTCAGTTGAGGCTGTCTCCATTTAATGAAGAAGCCCGGTCCAGATGGAGAGGCCTGGCTCAACTCTTCATCTCAGGAACAGGGCTTGGATTTTCCTACTCTGACTCTATCTGGATTTTAAGTATTTTAACAGGATCCCCTGTTAAACAAATTGTCTGCATTTTAAAATGTTAAATAAATATACCTTAATATTCCCCCAAATGACTATAGACTCATCTCACATGGTATAGAAAAATGAATTAAATAGTGGATCAAAGGGCCCCAAATAAAAGCTAAAGGTACCAAACTCTGTAAGAAAGTACAGGGGTAAATCATTAAGAACTTAGACTAGGAAATGATTTTCTACATAGGACATAAAAAGCACAAACAACAACAACAAACAAATCAGATGCAGTAGCATTCCTTAAAAGGAAAATAGTAACTTTTGTGTATGGCAGGATACTCTGAAGAAAGTGCAAATATATCTATAGAGAAAAGAATATTTGCAAATCATATGTCTTATAAGGAAGGGACCTGTGCATAGAATATGAAAATACAATCCAACAGTGGAAAGATAAATAACTCAATTTAAAGTAGGCAAGGAATCTGAATAATTATTTCTCTGAAGAAGATATTCAAATGGCTGATAAATACATGAGATACGCAGCATTAGGAAGTGCAAATGAGAACCATATGAGATAGCATTTCATATGTACTAACATGATGATAATAAACATCAGTTAGGATATACAGAGGTAGGAATACAAAATAATAGCACCACTTTGGGAAACAGTTTGGCAGTTCCTCAAAAAGTTAGAACACTGAGTTATCATATAACCCAATAATTCCATTCCTGACTATGTACCCTAAAGAAATGAAAACATATTTCCACAAAAACCACATAAACATATACAAATGTTCACAGTGGCATTAGTTATAACAGCCATAAATAGAAACAAGTCAAATGTTCACCAGCTGATGAATGGATAAACAAAATGTGGTGTCTAGGCAGAATATTATTTAACCATAAAAAGGATGAAGTATTGATATTCGCCTCACCATGAAGGGACCTTGAACATATTCAAACTGAAAGTGGTAGTCACAGATACTGTATGATTTGTATGGAATATTCAGAATAAGCAAATCTATAGAGATAGGAAGAAGAACAGTGGTTGTCTGGGGCTAGGGAGCAGGAGAATGGGGAGTGGCTGCTAATGACTAAGTTGTCTTTAGAGATGTTGAAAATGTTCTGAAACTGTATTCTAGTGAGGCTGTACAACTCTGAATATGCTACAATCAATGAATCATATACTTTAAATGGGTGACTTGAATGGTATGTGAGTTTTATCTTAATACATCTGTTAAAAGGAAGGTAAAATTTTCAGGGGGGCACAGAACTCCAGAGACTTCTCTGTCAGCAGATGCCATGTAAACATGCTAAAGGAAGTTCAAGCTAAAGGGAAATGGTGTCAGACCTACAGACCTACAGAAAAGAATGAAAAACAATATGAGCAATAAACTGCTTAAAACGTATTTTCTTCTAACTTATTTATTTTTGAAGGGGGTATTGTGTTGAGACGGATTTGCTATGGATTCCTGGTTAGCCTGGAACTCACAGCAGTTCTCCTGCTTCCACCTCCTGAATGCTGGAACTGTAGCACATGCCATCATGCCTGGATGATTTGTTTTATTAATATTATTACTAGTATGCTTTTCTTTCTTTTTTATTGATGTTCTAATTTCTTAAAAAATAACTTTTTGATAAAAATTATTACATCATAGTGTATTATTGGATTTAAAACATATGTAAAGATCAATATTACTGAATTACACTATTTTAAAAACCATATTTAATTAGAAAGAATATGATTCTTCTTAATAAGATCATAGAACAAAATATAGCATAATTACCAGTGTCAGGTTAAAGTGGAAGATGCCATAGTATGTGCTATTCATGATTATCAAGCTGGGAGCAAGGCCTCCTGAGGTAAAGACACTCAGTCTTCCCTTTGAAGTAAATTCATTTTCAGTTTGGAAAAAACAGATGATTTTCTTTAGGAAAGAAGGACATAAAGAAAGAATGACAATTTGATAGAGAAAGGCACATTACATTAATTTATTAGTGAGGAGAAATCTGTACAAAGTAGATGCTGATAAAGACCGCTATCTTTAATAAGTTCCATCTCTAGTCAGGGGCAAAAATCTAATTTTAGAATTTTAAAAGCCCTTCCTTGGAACTCAGTAACCTATAATGTGTCCTAAGGTTTTCAGTCCATCTTTATTATGGTGTTTCTCTCATAAAAATGGTAAGAAAGCTTGGGGTTTTCATAATCATAAAATCCAAACTGTGTGCTCTCACATGTAGATATTGTGATTTTAGTAAAATTATTATTATGTGACTAAATTAAGAAGGATGCAAAGTAAACCTCATCGATTGCATTTCGATTGCCCATTTCCCAATTTTGAAAAGGGATGTGAAAATGCCTCAGTCAAGAATGGTGGGATTTTACTGAAAACCTAGGACAAATACTACAGTTTATCTTTTGGTTATCCTAGTTAGGAAAGTTTCCTAAGTTTTAGTTTCTCCATCTAAAATATAGGGAAATAGGCGCTGGAGAGATGGCTCAGCAGTTAAGAGCATTAACTGCTCTTGCAGAGGACCCGGGTTCGATTCCCAGTACCCACATGGCAGCTACGAACTGTCCTTAACTACAGTTCCAGGGGAATCCAAAGCCCTCTTCTGACCTCTGCGACATTGCATGACATGGGTGCACTCACATACATGCAGGCAATACAGTCGTACACGTAAAATTAAATAAAATATTTAAAAAAATAAAAATAAAATATAAAATATAGGGAAATAGGGGCTGGAGAGATGGCTCAGCAGTTAAGAGCACTAACTGCTCTTGCAGAGGACCCAGGTTTGATTCCCAGTACCCACATGGCAGCTACAAACTGTCCTTAACTACAGTTCCAGGGGAATCCAAAGCCCTCTCTGACCTCCGTGACATTGCATGACATGGGTGCACTCACATACATGCAGGCAATACAGTCGTACACATAAAATTAAATAAAATATTTAAAAAAATAAAAATAAAAAATAAAATATAGGGAAATAGCTGGGCATGGTGGTACATATCCATAATTCCAGTACTTAGGAGGCTGGGGGTAGGAGAATGCTGAACTCAAGTCTAACCTGGGCTACATGTGAGACCCTCACTTAAAAAAATACTATAAATTGGGCAGAGTTGTAGCTGTTGGGGACATAGAAGTAAATGAAGCAGACAAAAGTCCCTGCCACCATAGAACTTACATTCTAATGGGTGGTGGCAGGGAGAAAAACTGGATAGATGGAGTGGTTGGGTGAATTGATAGATGGACAGAGGGAAAGACAGACCAAGAGGATATAAAATTGATTAAAGAACGGGAGAATGGAAACAGGAGTTTGGGAGGAAAATCTGGTTTAAATTTTTTTAATTATAATTTTATGTGTGTGTGTGTGTGTGTGTGTGTGTGTGTGCCACAGTGCAAGTATTGAGGTCAGAGGACAATGTGCAGAAGTCGGCTCTTTTCTTCCACCATGTGGGACCTAGGGATCAAAATCATGTCGTTAGGCTTAGCAGCAAGTGCCTTAACCCACTGGGCCATCTTGCTGGCTCCAGAAGTGTGATTTTTTTTTTGTCCTTTTGAGACAGGGTCTCCCTATAGCCCTAGCTGGCCTGGCACTCACTTTGTAGACCAGGCTGACCTTGAACTCACAGAGATTTGCCTGTCTCTGCCTCCAGAGTGCTGGGACTAAAGGTGTGTACCACCACGCCCGGCCAGAAGTCTGATTTTTAAGTCATCAGGGCAAAAGATTTTCCTCAGAGAAGTACTGTGAACTTAAAATTTCATAACAAACATAAAACACTTTGCCTGCTGCACACACTTTATAAATGTTAGCAATAACATAAAGTTATTACCACAACTGTCTAAAATATAGGCTGTAATTCTCATTTTAAAACTGAAAACTAAAGTGTATATAACCTGCCTCAGAGCACATAGACCATAAATGGTAGGCCCAAGATTTGATCCTAACTTTGTAAGTTTGTCTTCCTCTAAAGCCCACTCATTTCCTAGAATACATGATCACCAGTTAAAAGGGCACATGCTTTACAAGAGTCATAAATACAAAACAAATATTTATTTGGTATATCAAGAAGGAATTAGGCCCAAGCTAAAGCAGACTTAGGGATAAATATATGTATCTTTGTGGAATGTTTTTGTTTTCTTTTTCTTGTATTTGTCATAAATTTTTAAAACCATCTGTATGTTTTTATTAACTTCTGTTTTTGTTAACATTTGCTCCATGGCTTATCTCGTATTGTGTGTGTGTGTGTGTGTGTGTGTGTGTGTGCGTGCGTGCGTGCGTGCGTGCGTGCGTGCGTGTGTGTGTGTGTGTGTGTGTGATTGAACCTGGGGTCCTGTGAATGCTAGGCAAGCTGTCTACCACTGAGTTATACCACCAGCTCTATGGCTATCTTAATACCCTGTTTTATTTTGTTGTGTGACTATTTAAAAGTCTTCCATCATTTGAATGAAAAGGTCATATCCCTTACTCAAAATGTCATCTGCTACATGGTCCCTGTTAAGCAAGAAAAAATTTCTTCATCAAAGTTATGGAAAAGAAGTTTCTTTCTCTAACAGGTGACCTCTATCAAACTTCAAAAGAACAAATAGCTCCATAACAAATAAAGGTTGTTATAGCTGATCTAGAAAAGTGGGAGAGGCATCATTTAAAAACAATGACAAGGCAAAGCTACTCAGGATGCTCAATGGCCAAATGAAATATACTACCCATCCAAGTACAGAAACAATTCCATAGGATTTCACCTCCCCAAGTCTGGACAGTAGAAGGTACATGAGAGAGTACAATGCCATCCTTTTTGCACATGTATATAAAAGGGGCACGAAGGGCTATAATGCATGCAGTTAGTGGACCTTACCAAATCCTTGGTGGAAAGAAACAGCTTGATTATTTCATTTGGTTTGGGGAAGCCTGTGCTGGAACAAGAAAAATGGTTCACCGCCTCACCTAAATAAAGAAAAAAAATAGGTCACATATAGAAGGATTTACTTGAAAAGCACTGACAAAACTTTTTATTTTTATTCTATGTGTGTGTTTTGCCAGCATGTATGTAGGTGCGTCTGTGCATGCAATGCCTGCAGAGAACAGAAAAGGGCATCAGATCCTCTAGAACTGGAGTATGAATGGTTGTTAGCCACCATGTGGGTGCTAGGAACCAAATCTGGATCCTCTACAAGGGCAGCCAGTTCTCTTAAAGGCTGAGCCACCTCTCTAGCCTGACAAAACATTTTAAAAATAAGAATTTTAATTTTAAACCCAGGTGTGGACGCACACTTCTTTAATTCTAGCACTTAGGAAGTAGAGGCAGGAATATCAGGAGTTGGAGGCAAGCCTGGGCTACATAAGATCCTGTCTAAATTCCTCCTCCTCCTCCTTTTTTTTTTTTTACAAAAAATAATTTAAAATTCACTTCACTTTAGATAAAACCCAGATCTTCCATATTTTTAAAAGAAGATATGCTTTTAAGACTCTTAAAAAAGGAAGGTTTGGCTGAAGTGTTAAGATAAAGTACATAGTACAGTAGACAATGATGTCAATTTTCAGAGGTTGTCAAAAACCAGTTCTTGACTCTTCAATTCCTTATCCTTGAGTATAAGAAGACCAGAAACTGGAGATTAGAGAGAATTTAAGTATTTTTGAGACAGGATCTCATTGCTTAGCCCAGGTTTGTCTTGAACTTGCTAGCTATGTAGTCCTGAGATAGCCTTGAATTAACAGTGATCTTCTTGCCTCAGCCTCCTGAATGCTGGAATTATAGGCTTAGACCACCACCCCTTGCTAGAGAGGGAATTTTTACTCTGATAGAGACCTACTGACAGGAAGAAGTTGGGAGAAGGATCCCTTCTTCTTACCTTGAGTTGGAGGAAAGAGGTCTTGATGGGCATTAAAAAAAAAAATAGAACATACATCTTTGCAGTTTGGAAACAGACCTAGACTCTGGCTTAGCAAAAGGACGAGGTTGATTTGGTGGGCTGGACAGGAGAGGGCTTGATGAGAAAGACACGACTGCTTTGGGCGTTCTGCACAGTCACAATTTCTTGGGACAAAGATATGTGAATGCCTTCCATAGGCCACTAGTGAGAAAGCACTAGTTTAGGATTATCTAGGGTCCTGATCTCAAAATTCCCTCTGAATAGTAGCTCAACATCAGCAAAAGAATTTCAAGGCTTAGCTGAATATTTTTTAAGGGTTGATAAAAGAATAAATGACTATTGGGGTTATGGAGAAGATTTCGCCTTTGTTGAGAAAACTGTAGCTAAGAAAGTCCTAATAATACTGTGGAGGGGGGTGCTGTGGGGGGGAAGGCTGTGAAGTTAAGTACCCAAAGATGGCTTTATATCTGCTGGATCCAGAAGGTGCAGTTGTCAGATGGACATCTCAGGATCCTCTAGGTAAGACCTAGGTCACTTCACCACATCTCCCTGCCTGCCTACAATGTTGGAGCAGAAAGGCTCAAAGCTGAAAAGTCAGCAAGACAATGAAAAGGAAGTTAAACACTAAGCAGAGGAGGAAAGGCAAAACACTGGCATCTTGTCAGCAAGGCCTAAACACGGGAAGAAGCCTCCATTATGGGACAAGGGTCATGGTTCAACTGTCCCATAGGCTTGGAGATTTCAATTATAACTATTAGAATGCAATGCCGTGTTTTAACATTTTCATTGCTTGGAAAATAGTTTGAATTGTAAAATAAATAAATGAAACAAAATAAAACACTCCTAGGGAGGTCCAAATATTTCACCAGGGTTAGAGGAAGAAAGGACTAGATTTAAATAATACTTTATATTGCATATTATTTATACAACATAATTGTTTCAATATTATTAAAATTCTAGACATAAGCATATCAGTATAAGTATTACAAGCATAGCTTAATGTATGTCCAAGAGTTATAATGTTAAGAAAATTTCACCTTTTTTACCCAGAATTACACCATGTAACTTTATTATTAAAATTAATTTATGTAGGACAGGGGATGTGGCTTAGTTGGTAGAATGCTTGCCTAGCATGCATAAGGCCCTAGATTTGATCCCTAGCATCCTGTAAATTGGGGGTTATCAATACACACCTATAATATCAACACTTTAGAAAGGAAGAAGAGGAGTTCAAGCTCATCCTTGGCTGTACAGTGAAGTTCAGGCTCTCCTGGACTATATGAGACTGTCTCACAAAACAACAATAAAATCCCATTTATTTGTGCTCATTACAGAAATGTGGTAAAGTTATCTCTGTTAAAGCAAGTTTCAAAGCACATTCAACTCACATTTTCCAATTTGTCCATCCTTAGTACTGCTACCAGACTTAATTTTAAGCTATAATTTAATTCTAAAGTCAAAATGACTTCACTGCTTAAAAAAAAATAAAACCCCAAAAAACCCCAAAAACAAACAAAAAAACTTCACTATTACTAATGAATAAATTCCTTATGTGGAAAGAAGATAAACAAAAGGAAACTAGTTCCTTTGAATAACATACTATTAGCTAGTCATAGGGTTTACATGTCATGTTATTGTAGTCTTACAGTGCTTTGGGTTGTCCATGTCATTGTGAGTTCTTTAAGAACAAGAAAACAAGATTCAGGACATTGAGTTCACGGTCATATACCTGACAGTAAGTCAGACTGGAGCAAGGCATTTCTGTCTCTAAAGACCTTCACCTATTCTACCAAACAAATTTTCAGCAGTCAGGCTTGCTTTTCAGACTTTCTTGTAGAAAACCTATGCTCCAGCCTCTCCCCATGCTCATGGGCATTCTCCATACTTCTGTTCTTTGCTCACATTTTTTAAAAATTTTGAATTTTTGCAGTTTTCATATAATTTAATGGCATTTAGATCCCCTCCCCTATCTGTACCTCCCCCTTACTTCCCCCTGAACAATTTACTCTACTAGGTATCTTACATGTTATATATCATTATATATTTATGTTATATAAAACAGCCTATAGAGTCTGATTTATGTACCCAAATGTCCATCAGTTTGGGTCCATCCACTGGAACCTGGTTAACCTACCAAGTCCCATTCCTGTAACAGCCTATCTCTATCCTCCCAGCAGCCATCAGTTGCCAAAAGTTCCTTAGGTTGGGTTGGGATTTCTTACCCATGTCTTCATGTCTATGCTGGAATTTTGTCTGGTTTGAGCTTGCATGGGACTTATTGCTCACGTTTTTAAACTTACTTTAAGTAGATCTTCAAATAGAAACTTTCTGACATTTGTCTCAGTGAGACTGACCAATGGCCCTTGATTCTGGTATTATTTTACCTTTTTTTTTTTTTTTTTGAAGATTTACCTTCAAACTTCTATTTCTTGTACTCTGTTAGCAAAATATTGTTGATTTTCTTCATTTGCTGATTTTTTTAACTACCAAAGGAAAGGGTGTTGGAAGGAAGGCAGTCTAAAAACTTAGTAAAAGAGCACATGAAAAGCAGAAGTATAAGATTAAAAGTCCTGG